TGGAAGAGTTGGCGAACATAACTGGGAAATGGCATCATTGAGGTCTGAACATGAAAGAGCCATAGCATCACTTAAAGGAGAATTACATTGGAATAAGACTGGCAATGACTTAGCTCGCAAAGAGAGGAAAGCCCTGCAAGAAGAAGTACATGCACTACGCGAATAACTCGAATCTCAACAACGAAAATCGACCGATACAGCCTCAGCAGCATCAATCGACACGACCAAACACAAGCCTATCGAGAGTCACCTACATGAGCTATCGATCGATGACCCTCCATTGCCATCGACCGACACTCAAGCACCAGACTTCTGTACCAGAGAAGAAACTGAGGACATCACAAGATATATCTACAAATCAATTGAAGCCTGTGGAGATGAAGCATACAGATTACTCGACAATATGTGGTTCCCAGTACAGAGTGACGTTCAAAGATTGAAATGCACAATAGAAGGAATTCAGAAGGAGATCAAATACATTCGAAGACAGCTCGCGAACCGACCTGCACCCTCATCATCGATCGACGCACCTTCTAACCCATCGACCGATGGACATCCATCCACATCGACCGATGGACATCCATCCACATCGACCGACGGAACTACACAGAGATCGGTCGATACGATCCCTTCCGGTGTGCAAAACATTCAAAACTTCGACACAACGCAGCTGAGTATTAATGTAGAACAAACCTACAACATGCTTGGACATCATGAGTACAGCATTACGAGCTTTGAGGGGTGGTTACAACGAGTCCAAGATGACGTCCAAGGGTTAAAAGCTAGTATGACCAGAAGTGAGAAAGCCACAAGAAGCTTCTTAACTTCATGGTTTGAAGAATCACAAGACAAGGAGGATACTTGTTTCCCAACAAGTACCTGCAATTCACATCACTAGCCACCATACCTCCATAGTCAAAGCTAAATGACTCTAACTAAGCTTGAGTGGGAGGCAACCCACTATTAGGTATTTTCTTTCTTAGTTTTATTTTATTTTTACTTATTTCTTTCTTTTTATTTATTTCAGATGATACACGATCACTACCTCTATTGACCGATAAGACCCTGTCTACATCGCTCGACATAGCCCTATACATGACGATCGATGGAAGTGACTCACCATCGATCGATACAAACATCGGTCAGGTATATCATTCACAATTTTCGATATCAGTTATACATTATTTATTTATGCCCTAACTCCGACTGGTTATACACTGAGGACAGTGTATGATTTAAGTCTGGGGGAGTGGAGATTACTGATGCTACTTTATCTTTTTTATCTCATTAAAGGTTTTCAAAAATTGGTTTTATTGAGTCAAGAAATGGACAAAAAGATTTCAAAATTTTTACATTTTATCTAACCACTCTTTAGCATCATTCTTAGAATTATTGATTGCAGAAAGTACTATAGATGCTAAGGTGGATCACCAGTCACCTATGACAACAATTTTTCATGATTGTTTAGAAGAACCAAAGCTGATTTCAAACCTAACATGACATATATTGCTTGTCTTGGGGCTTGGTATACAAGGGATCAGAATCCTCTTGCAAGTCTAAAAGGTAAAAGTCTTGATAGTTTTGGTTTCTTTCTCTCCTCCCTTTGGCATCCCTAAAAGAGAAAAATAAAGATTGAGATGATTTCCTGAGAGGCAGAGGGAGAGGTACATTACCCATGACCCCATTATTCTAATTCAAAGGAATGATCACACATCGTGAAAGCGAGGGAGAGGTACATTACCCATGACCCCACTATTCGCCTACACTTTTTGGAAAAGACTACTAAAAGTAGTAGAAAGATCAATAAGATGAACATATGTTGTTCTTTGGGATTGATATAAAAGAAATGAAAATTTGGGATTCAAAGAAGGGGGATATAGGGAGAAAAGAAACCAGAATGAGAATGCTTGAAACTTGCTTGAGTTGAATCCAAGTGTTCCTTGATCGATACTCCCAAGGTAAAGCCCTCATTTTTTTTTCATCATAAATGAAATCAGTAGAGGGGATAGACAGACAGGATTGCTAAGTTGATGGGCTAGATGAATTTGGTTGCTAAGCTAAGATATGGTATAATGTACTTCTGTGATTAGTAATATGAGATGTGGCTTGCAACAAAGTAGAGGTTATGATTTTAAGTTAAGATTTGATTGAGTCCCTGCTATTTTTAAACTTTTTCCAAAGACTAACTGTTGTGTTTGCTTGACGACAAGCAAAAGGTTAAGTCTGGGGGAGTTGATATACCATGGTTTTGACCCACTTTTAACCATGATATTTATATGATTTTATAATATATATATATATATATATATATATATATTGGAGTCTATTAGGTATGTTTTCAGGTTCAGAAGCATTTTGGAGTAAAGTGATGATTTAGGTGCCCTTGTGGACTTAAAGGAGAGTTTTCCCGAGATGACTATAAAGATCAGACAATAAGGTCGATATCCAGAGATACATATCGATCGATACACATCCTGTGTAATCGATCGACGATGCTTCCGAAGAGGATGACGAATTGAGATACTCCATCGATCGATGTACACCATGTACCATCGATCGATATGAAACGTGAAGAACAAGTTGACTCGGCCTTGAAGCCCAAGTTCTCTCAATATTACAAGATTTCCCCTGACGAGTTTTTAACCTAATGGAACTCATATTTATAGTTATGCCTATGTGTTTTGGCGAAGTGTGCCTTTAACATGCTTTTTGTGCTTTTACATTCTTTTATTGTTCTTAGTTCTTTGATTTATAAAAGTATTATTTTCATCTTATTCTCATTTTCATAAAAGGTTATAAAATTCTAGATTTAGAAGAATTACACAAAGAGATTTGTTGTTCAAAAGAACCAAGAGTTCAATCTTCTAATCTAATGAATTTCTATTATTACCTTGTTGCTATGAATTACTTAGTCATGTCTGAATAGATTCACTTGTTAGATTTAGGGTTCAAATAGTTATGAGGGTTTAGCCCCAACTATGGATTGTTGAGTTGTGATATTCATTATCCTGATGAACCCTAATGCTTATTCTAGAGTAGCTAACTAGAGTATGATCATGGAATGATTTAACTTGTTAATCATCATCCTGAAATCATCTGGTATAAGCTGAGATCCTCTAGGGACGATGCGAGAGCCGTTCTATGATCTTGGTGAACACATATTCAATTCGATCTGAAGCTATATCGATCGATACTCCTATAGAGTAATCGATCGACGGCAACAAATATCATCCGATATGGCGATCATACCATCGGTCGATATTGTCGGCAGTCAGGTCAATGGACGAGTCCAATAGCGACAGCTAATAGACTTATCTAAGAGTTGAAGTTCTTTAATATCTTTCAAGCAACTTATAAAGACATCTATAGCATTATAATCCTGATTATCTGAATAGCAGCCTTGAATCTAACTACTTTCTTTTATTGTTTAAAACCTAAAATCAATTCTCTTGAGCAACTCACCATTGCTCACAACTGCAATTTACTTTTAAACCTTAATCAACCTAGCATATTCACTTAGGATTATATATTTTGTGTTCCTTAGTTCCTTGTGGATTCGATCCCTAAGTACTACAACTGAACCTCTTATTTGAGAGTGTAATTCACTCCTTGGGATAATTTGAGTGATATCAGCGCACGAGGAAGAGAGAGAAAGAGTTTAAGGCTAGGGCTTCCGGTCTTCGGGAATTCTCTGCAAGGCTCCACTTTAGTTTTTGGTGAATATGACAAAAGAAGGAGGAGGCTGCTCTTTTTTATAAGGAAGGCAAGGAAAACCTAGGTCTCTTGTCCTAATGGGCCGTAGACATGCCCTTTTTCCTTATGAAATTTATGGGCCTGGTATTGGGTTGTTACAATCTCCCCCACTTAATAGAATTCACGAATTTGCGTGTCATAACTCAAACTGCAAACATCCCAACCAACACGAGCATCACGCGTCACTTGCTCACTTGCGGTTTCTGTAACATCCTAGCTCACTAACATTACGGAGGTCCCTCATCATTTTATATTCCATCCATCCTTCTAAGTCATCATTTCCTTTCGGTTCACCAACTTCATCCATATGCTGCTTATAGTTACAATGAGACGTATTGTTGATGCTTGCTTCGGAATGTCATCCAGGGTACTTCTAACCTCTTTTACTCGTCCAACATGTGGTGTCATCATGAAATCAACATCTGTTGTGGTGTGCTGCCGGCTTGCCACCATGCTTCCGCTACGCTACTCTGATTATCCTTTTTTCCCCTATGCCCACGTGTGCTTCGGTCAAGGCATCCCCATCTGTGGATTCCACCATCCAAAGGTGTCTCTTAGCACGTTCTGGCGGCAGTCTTGTGTTCCTCCTAGCTCATATCAGCTATTCCACTTGCTATGTGGTTTCATAGGTCCTCTTCCACTTTGTTCTTAGCTCTCCCCCACTTTCGATCATGCGTACATGGTTCCTAAACAGCTTCCCCAACATTCCTTGTGTTCGCATCTCCGTATGTGCAGTGGGTTGTAAGATTGTGCCAGTACTCGTCGGTGATATTGTACCACCTTCCTCCTATTTCAACACATGGGCATACAACCCATGTCGGTCAACCTACCTTGGCTATTTCTTAACCAAGTTATATCGTGGCTATATCTCATTCCCATCATGGTTCATATGTCCTCTGAAGTAACTCCATATGGATACAATAATAAAACCTCCTAAAGGTAACACTTTGCCTCTTCATGACTGATCGAGTCCCAGACTCCAATTTCCTGGCTGAACTCAAATACACTCACATCGAAACATATCACTCACAGACGGCACACAGGACAAGAATAAATTTTCTCAGGATCTTTTTAAAAAAACCAACAAATGAATCCAATAAATGAAATGGAGTAGGACTAAAATAGTTTAGGAAAACTCAAGGCATCTGTACAGACACATAATGCTTATAAAATGGAAGAACACCAAAACCAACAACAAATAAATAAATCAAAGAGACAACCGCGTGTCCTACTCCTATGAAATGATCCTAGGAACTCAGCCAGCCACAGTGAGGAGAAGGAACACGGTCGGTCTCGGATCCAGAACCATCTGCACTGGCATCTCCTACCGCCGGCTCCGGGTCTTCGTCTTTCTCGGTGGAGCAATCACATTCGGCTTTCACATTCCTCTTCACCAACCACTCCTTTGCATCTAATGCTTGGCCAGCTACCCTTTTCACTAGTGAAAACTTCAGGGGCTCCATGACACCAGCGAGCTCTTCCCGAATATTCACGCGTAGTCCAGCCTTGAATAACCAACACTACTCTTCTACAAGCTTCGGTTGGCACTTCCTTGCTCCATCCAAGAACTCGTCCAGGTAATCCCTCACCGTACGTGGCTTCTGCAACATTTGGACCAGCACATCACAATCACAAGATGCTATGGAAGATTTCCACGGGGGTCCCCGCTTCTTCTTAGGGGGTTCCCCACCTGACGCCCCTAGGTCGTCGTCATCCATCCTCGGATCCTTCTCCGTGTTCCCCTTCTCTGAACTCGAGACGGCGGCCAACTGAGCTGCAATCTTTTCCTCTACCTCGATTGCGAAGCCGGCCGTCCGTTTCACCAGAGCGAACTCAATAGGCTCTAAAATACCTTTCAACTTGGCCTTGATGACCCCATGAAACCCTTTCTTATACCATCTAGACCACATTTCTGCAGTCTTTGGCTTACACAGCTTTGCTTGGTTAATAAAGTCTTTGGTGTTTCCCACAACTGATCGATCTCCCTGAGTATTCTGGAACAGTGCTTTACACTGACACTTCTTGGTGAACGCTCTCAGGGGCTCCCCAGCTGCACTCAGCATCTTGCTTGGGTGGCCACGCTTCCTTGGGAGCTCCCCTCGGATGAAAGCTGAAATGTCGCATGGCATTGTAGTATGCGCTTCTCCATAGCCATCCTTTGGAAATGTGGCATCAACACCTTATGCCCCACGGTCTGCTCATGAGGGTATCCGAACGGGAATTCCCTATATTGCTCCTCTGGTTCCGGGTACATGGGAAACACCCATCTACCTTATGTGTCCCAATGCAGCCTACAGGCGTACTTCCGGGTGCCCATCCGTCCATAACGCATACGCGGCATCCTTCAGTCGTAATGGTCAAGCGAAAACATCTTGCAATAAAATCCAATCAGAACCATAGTAAATATATAGAGATAACGGGTGGTTTGAAACAATCCTTTCGCAATCCATTATCACCTTTGGTTACAGACTTTAAACCTGCCACAACATAGCAAAAGAATGCTTAACCCACTTTCACCCAAAAAGCCGTCAGTTTCTGAAACCTGATCTATCATAAAAGACGAGACCAAAAACAGAGGATCAACTTATTATCATCTTCAAAGACTTTTTTTTTGAAAAACATCTTCAGAGACTTCCTTCAGCCAATAAGGACAGCCAGAAGCCACATAACCCTGTGCAAAGTGACTTTTTGTTGCTGATTGAGCGATGAGAAAAGTACGAAGCACACCACTTTGACGGTTAATCCTTGAGCATTCCTTTTAGACGGTTAACTTATTATATTGATAGCTAATATTAGTCGTAGCTAATCTCTACAAAGTATCCTGCTGATATATTTGTCTATGTAGCCAGATAATACAAAATTTGGATGTACTATATTATTTGTAACGAGTCTATCAAATAGTAGAATTATTGTTACAAGAAGTTCAAATGTACAGAAAATTCATATACTTACTTCTATTTCTGAATTAGTCTTTTAGTTTCATTGTTAACCAGATAACTTATTTGATAACATATAATAATTAATTATATTTTCATATTGATCTTTTAAATTGATCACTAAAGCTTTATTGTTAGACAACCAATCTATCTTATCAATGGCTAAAATTATTCTTAGTTGATCTTTGAATTTTTGATTTGGTTAACAAAATTTTTAAGTATTTCTATTTAATTATTTTACGCTAATATTATGTTTAGTAAGATAAATAAAGTTTTATCCGGCTACACGCCAAAATTTTGTTATTATGTATCTGTATAATATTTACCCACCAATACGTATACTTTTCCCATGCATAACTAAATATTTTCAAAATATTTCACTTAATGGTCAATTGATCACCAACAAAATCACTAAATATATGATTGTAACCAATCGTATGTAAATATGTGACTCTAAGTCTGTAAAAATCATTGTATACCTTGTTTTATATACGCTTTCACACACAAGAACTATACACAACTGTATGTAGAGGTTAATCTCACGAATGATTTTGTATTTTGAAATAATTAGTACTGTCGTCTGCATCAAAGAAGCCAGTAGATAGGATTCACTCTCGTTTGTCTACAGTAACATTTTAAACACCTATAAAAATCTGTAAAACTTTTTTTTTTAACAACAAAAAGTTCTGCAAAAACTATTCTTTTATATCTCCATGTAAACATAAGGTTACAATCGTCACTTTACCACGAACTTGCACATCACGCACCCCAATTTCCACCTTCGTAGGTAGATAACTAATTTCTACATTCTTTTTGATTTTTAGACTAATTCACTCTAAAAAATATTAAAGAAGAAGAATAAAGTAAAGGAAATATTTAATGCTTTAAAAAGTATCAGATGTAGTCACCATTTGGAATTGTTTAAGATGACATATCCTCAGATTTTGGCCTTGCTGAACAGTTTGTTCATCATAAAGATCAGTTGGATTTATTAAACAAAGATGATACTAAAGCCGTCAACAAGAAAAACAAGTTGCAAGCAAATGTTGAGATCGGCAGAGGACAAAATGACTTAAAACTGTACGAATCTTACAAATAATACTAGGCCTGATACAATTTATATTAAAAAAAAAGAGCAGGAGAGGAGCTTGATTTTGTAAACGACTGAGTATTGGGGATGGTCTCTCAAGTAACTTCTGGAAGTACAGAGTCTCAAAGATTACAATGAATTTAGCCAAGGTGTGTTAGTCATGGACGATGCTTCAGTTGGACCTTCCTGTAACAAGAATGGAGAAAGACAAATATAACAGAAACAACATAATGTTTTGCTAGAGAAAAACAAATAGCTATGGATTATGGATTCAACTATGATAAAAAACAGTCATGTCTCTTTCACCGAATGACAAGATTTTGTTTACAAGGAAGACAAGTGTATTATGATTGAGTTGGTTTGGTATCATTTAGTTTGGCGTGCTTCTGGGTTTTGTACAAATTATAGTGCAACATCAATTTCTCATGCAACAACAAAAGATTCACAATGTAAAAACATGTTTAAATTGACCTCAAGTGCATAGTAAGTACTAAATAGCATGTAACATGAGACTAACAAAGTAGCTTTGTATAGTTTTGAATCAAAGTTATATATTTCTAAACATAATAAAATATACATAAGCCAAAATAATAAAAATATAATAAAGATAAATTGTTTTTTTTCTTTAATTATTGTATAGTCAATTCAAAAAAATAAATATTAAAAGTTATTTTTGTTACTAAAACCTTCCTAATAAAGTGTATTTCATGTTTATATGACAAAATTTTAAATATTAATGAATCTGTGTAGGAGTTTTTTATGGGTGCTTATGTGAAATACATAAGTATATATGTATATAAGATTATAATAAACATTTGTAAGAACATGTTCTGCCCAAATCGTATAAACAAAATATATTTCATATGTTTCTCGCGATTATAAAGATGACTTTGATGATATTAGTCAATTTTAAATTATTTAAAAGATGTTTTTTCTTAATTATATTTTGCCAAAATACACAAATTTTGCTCTATATTCTTTGGTATCATCCACTGCACTAATATTAAACTATATTAGATCACTTTAATTCAAACTAAAATAATTATTAAAAATAACAATATGATCTTAGAATTCTTTTCGTTATTTGTTTGTTTATAATATCATTTTCTATAATGATTTTAAATGCTTCATAAATAATAAAAAAATCATATAAAATAATTTTTATTATAACTTTCCATTCGTAAAACATAAACACTTAAAATAAAACTTAGAAGTTCACTTACCGCTTCGACAGTGAGAGCCATACGTTTTAGTGAAATTAGAATTGTTTCATTGTTTACTTTATGGCGTGAACAATAAGAGCCGTGTTAATCTTTAGTAAAATAGAGATGTATTCACATTAGACATGGGTGATGTAGTCCCGTTAAAAACGGTTCTAGGTCAAGCCAGATGATACATTGGTTTTAGACCCTTAAATTTTTTGAAAATAGTTACATATAAATAGGCCAAAAAAAATGAGAATCCCAAATCTATTAAAAAAAATTAGCTGAAATCATTAAAAACTAGCATTATGCTCTCTAATTCTCAGGATCGGCATATATCAACAAAATCACATTCAAAATTTCGAACATTATGGAGGTGTATTGAAACAAGATTTTTAAGAGACTTAAAGATTTTGTTAAAATATATTGTTATTCAATCAATGATTTTAAAAACTCCTTCCAAATCAAATGTTATTCAACATGAAATTTGTGTAAAATTATTGCAAATCACTTGTAATTCTCTGTTATTCAATTAAGAGTTTGTAGGAACTCAATCAAATCTACTGTTATTCAACTGTAACTAATATTTAGGATTAAAATTTTGTGATAAGGATTTTAGGAGACTTTTCCTTCATTTATAGTTAAAATTTGATCGCGTAAAAGAACATCCATTTAGGTGTTATTTGAACAAATCTGAAAGAAAGAAAAAATAAATAAAAAATTACAGAATAAAAAGTGAAGCAAAAATCTGGAGTTATAGCCGTCGTGAGTGGAAGGAGACTATGATTACAGGCAAGATGATGTTTTCAATACCTCTGAAGCTCTAATCCGGATCATGACGAAATTGGTGCAGAATGCTCAGTTCTGAATCCGACTTCCTCTTCAGACGCAACAACCCTGTGTCATATCAGCTATGTCCTTGTTATAAGGGACCTTACAAAGAGGATTAGAAGAGTTCATCATATGTCTTTCTTTTCCACTCTCGTGTCCAATAAATCTACACCTCTCACTGATAGACATAGCTTAGCTCTCGTTCTTTGTATTCTATTTAAAACATAAAGAGTGATCATGGTCTGCAGAATCCACTCAAAACAAAAAGAATCAGTATCTTTCAGTCGAAGAAATTTGTGACAACATGAACTTGGTTGTGTATAACCTAATAGAACGCTTCCTACAGAAATTTGCAGACAAAAATAGCTTATACTTAGGAGTGGATTAATGTTCATATCTTAGATGAGGGTAGGCAGTCATAGCTGCTATCACACTTTCCATTTCTTTTTTTTTTTTGAAATGACAGATTCATCTTGTCTGGTAAAGACGAGGTTATTGAATCTCTAATTGTTGAGTACCTCTTTTCAACAGTTTCTTGTTGATATTAAAATAGTTGAAAGGTTGTGGTGAAATGCAGAAAGAAAGAACATAAGTATATTGACCAAGTGTTCTGTTTTTGTATATGATGGTTATGAGTAACCAGGTGATTCCACCGTACAACATTAGCTTTGGATAAAACTTCTAACGTTTACTTCTCTTATATCCAAGGTACTCCTAAAACATCACTATAATAGAAATCCATATTACTTGGCCATCTGAGAAGGATATGGCTTTAACATAAGTGTAATTGAAGTGTGAGACTAGTGAGTATTAGAACGTTTGAATCCCCAACCTCTGTGATTTCCAGTGCTTTGTCATTTGTGTGTTGGATTGAGTTCTCGAGTATGCTATGAGTCCCTTGATTGACTCGCCCTGGACATATCCTGTGTTACAGGGAAACACGTGGACGGATGGGATCAAAAGTAATAAAGACACGTGGGAGTAGATGAGCTGAAGTTTGTAAGAAGAGTTCGATATATTACTTCGGTGAAGAAGGGAAGAGATTAACCAAGAAAATTGTAAATTTTGTTAGAACTCTTTCTCATCTTTTCTCTGTGGTTTCTATGGTTTTCTATTGAACTTTCATGGAAAATCCCTCATTGTTGTTCTAGAGCCGTTTCTTATGCTAAGCTCTTCACACTTTGAGAGTTGATTCGGTGTTTTACGAACGTCGTATCAAGGTTATTGTTCATCGTCTTCTTCATTACAGTTAAACCGTAACATTGGTATCAGAGCCAATCATCCTCGGAATCTGGCGGGATCAATGGAGGGAGTGGAGTTTCTGGTCTTCGAGGGTGATTCTGGTGACTTACGTCCATGGATTTCAGTTTTGGAAGATCAGTTTGCAACTGATGATTACTCGGATTTGAACAAACTAGCTTTAGAGGTGTATCATATCGAAGGTGAAGCAGAATCGTACGTTCAAGAACGGCATGAGCTCAAATATTTCGAAACTTGGGATGATCTAAAGAGTAGTTTGATTATGAGGTTTGGTGATAGAGACGATCCAGAACAGATCAAATTGGAGGCAGTGAGAGACAAGTCGGTTCTGGATGGGCGAGATACTGCGACTATCAAGAACACCAATGTGATTCAAGAAGTGAATGAGCACATTGTGAATCTTGAAGCAAACGAGATGCATCAAGAAGAATCTGAGCTAAACGCAAGTAAGCCCGATGCGGATCAGGAGATGGAAGTGGTTTGTTCGAATCAAGATAAGCTTTCGCCTGAAGGGATTAATTCAGTTCTGGAAACTGATGGTGTTCATCCCAGGGAAGCTACTCCAGAATCTGAGGTACTGGTTTCTTCAACAGACGCTGATCATGCTGAAATTTTGTTAAAAAAACAGCAATATGGATATGATAACTGTGAACCAGATTGATTTGGTGAAGAACGTTGAGTGTTTTGATGTGTCTTGCCTCTTTAGCTCAAGGAATCTAAGGGATTCAGTGATGATAGGGGATTAGTTCTCTAAGTGTTTGTCAGATATGGAGATCATAGGTAATGCACACCAAATGTATGATCGGAAGTCTCTAAGAACTAGAAGTAGTAAGAAACATAGGAAGCAACTTAAGTGCTGGAAATTCAAGTTCAAAAGAAAGAAGTTGACTGGAACCAAGCCAAAAATTGAACAAGACAAGCTCGTGACGTCAGTAACAAGCCTGGAACAGAACGATAAGAGGTTGAGTGGTATGGTTAATAGGTTGCACAAGAGGAATACTATGAGTGATAGATGTTCTAGGGTGCAAAATACTCGTGAGGCTGTTCGGTGGTACAACATGAAGATTCTTTGTAACAAGAGGAAGCAAATTAAACATTTAAAGAATAGGAAGTTCAAGTATAAACAAAAGTTTTCCATGAGAAAACTGTCTCTTATGATGAAGTGCAATAAGAAGAAAGAGAGGTTTGCTGTGATTAAGAGGCTTAACCAGATGAGAGAAGAGCTCATGTTTGTTTTACAGGAAGCAGAACGAAGATATGATTCACAAGATCTGCTTCACTAAGATATGGAGCAGTTCAAAATGTTGAGTCTACAATTTCTCAACTAGAGCATATGATGCTCACTGAAAACGTTGGACCCAATAACGATGATGAAGTTGTGAGCTGTTGGATTTCAATTCCAGTGACAAGTCTTAACCCGAAAGAGCCAGAGAGGTTGGTTGGTTTTGCTGATACGGTGCAAACGAAGGTAGTGGGTCAAGATCAAGTGGTATATGCAGATTTGTCTTTGGATAATATGATGTTGGCTCCTGATTTTAATCTTCATAAACACTTGATACTACAGCAAGTTTTGGTATCTAACGGGAGACTTGGTTATAGCATGAGCGTTTTTAGTTCCAACCAGGCTGTGGTGCAGTGGTTTCAAGTGGCTGTGACAGATAGCAGAAGAAACATGAACTTAATGTTGGTGTTCCAACACAAGGTTTTTACAAGTTTGTCAGGTCTACGACTTAAAGATAGAATCTTTGAATTCTGTTTTATGGTCAATGATACTTATGATGGGGTTGGAATCAATTGGTCTAACATGAGCGTTCCACATACTGAAGTTTTGTTGGGTCTAGAGATGGAGCATCAGGTTATGTATTCTGCAGTTGACAAGCCTTGGGATCCAGGTGATACTGCAGTGGCTAGATGTCTGAACCGTGATTTACACAGTACACACGAAGCTGGCAGCGTGATCATGAGTAAAGAACATTCACTTCAAGAAGAAACGGGAGAAAGAAATGTTAAGAATCTCTGTTTTTCTTAGGGAACGAGAAAAACACTGATCACACTTGTTAACTGTTTGGGGCCTAAGAGAGGGTTTCTTAAGGTTGATTTTCTCTGTGTCATGGGAGATGAGTTTCAGACTATAAAACGAAAATTCCATGAGTGGATTTGCATACTCCAATGGGGTTCGGTTTGGATTGAACGTGTTAGTGGTGGCGGTGGCGTATGGCATCGTTGGAAGAATAAGAGTGAGATAAAGGAAACTGTTTCAGAATCAGGGAAGATGACATGACAATGCAGTGACTAAGCAGAAGATAACCAGCAGCTCCATCTGTTTCAAGACCCTTATTTGTGAGAGGTGTTGACGTTTTTTACGCAGTCTTTACTTCATTTTCTGAGACTCAAATGTTCATTGTTGGCGAGAGGGAACATGGTCTGTGCCGTAAATGTGATTGCTTTGAGTGGTCAAAGTCTGCAGACTCAGTTTTGAATCGTGATGATGTTGGAGACGTGTTGCAAGGATCACATGAAGCTTAACCTTGTGGTCAAGGTTTTCAAAAGAAGGGAGATTTGTTATAGGGAAACATGTGGACGGATGGGATCAAAAGTAATAAAGACACGTGGCAGTAGATGAGCTGAAGTTTGTGAGAAGAGCTAGATATATTACTTCGGTGAAGAAGGGAAGAGATTAACCAAAATAATTGTAAAATTTGTCAGAACTCTTTCTCATCTTTTCTCTGTGGATTCTATGGTTTTCTATTGAACTTTTGTGGAAAATCCCTCATTGTTGTTCTAGAGCCGTTTCTTATGCTAAGCTCTTCACACTTTGAGAGTTGATTCAGTGTTTTACGAATGTCGTATCAAGGTTATTGTTCATCATCTTAGTTAAACCGTAACATCCTGTTTGAAGTTTATCCAAGTATCAATTGTATATCAAGGTTCGTAATATATATACATTAATGGCCAAAAGTTTAATTTCATTATGCATATATGATAGGTAGATAGATCCATAAGCAAAAACTATGTTGACTGAGAACTGTACTCAAATTACCAAAAAATTCTGAAATTTATAAAAGATATCATAACAAATCACCTATAGATTCTTATTTGTAGGTTTTAATTTTCATCAAAACCACCCTGATAAATCCATAACTCACCTAAATCTCACTAAAAGTAAAACACCTAAAATCTTTTAAAACACCTAGTCCAAATTTATAAAAGATATCTTAACAAATCATCCTTATTTGTAGGTTTTAATTTTCATCAAAACCACCCTGATAAATCCATAACTCACCTAAATCTCACTAAAAGTAAAACACCTAAAGTCTTTTAAAACACCTAGTCCAATACACCCCCCTATATGTTGAGTGAAAATGATTGAACCAAACGGAATAAACAATCTAAGAACGTAAAATAGGACTCGTGAATCCTATTTGACGGGTGTCTCTTGTAAGCTCCTGGGTAAGGACGTATGAGATTTCGCGGTGGGCGGAACCTTGGCTTTGCCGGAGATGTCAATAGATTTTCTCTATGAAGGTTGTCTCCATGGAGGCCTTGGTGAGCTGGTGATGTCACGAAGACATGATACACGATGGGACCAAGACCAACAAGGCAAATGACAAGGTTTGGTGAGAGACAGCAGTTAGAGATGGGGATGGTGAACGAAACTTGACTCTAAATTGAAAGAGTAGAAAAGCAGTACGGTGGAATCTCGTCGTAGGTGACAATGGCGAGAAGTGGTGGATGCGCTTCAAATCTACTCAAACTTCCAGATCTGGCGAGCTCAAGCACGGGATGAATAGATCCGGTGGTTGTGCTTCCACAGTGAGGAGTGGCGCCGAGAATTAGGGTAGGAAGGGAAATGGCGGAGGTGATCAGAAGAGGCTCCGTCTGAGACCCAAGTGTTGACTCCTCTCAGGAATCGGGTCTGGGAGAGAAAGGGTTTTGTTTTGGGGCTTGGTCATATGTAATCTACCTAAGTAAGTTGACTGGCTCTCTAAAAAGCATCATATCAGTCAGTGTGGACTTCTAATGTTACTTTTTGACCATTTGGTGGGGAATGGGGATGAGAGGAAAAGTAGTTGCAGCTCTCTCTCTCGTGCTCAACCATTAGCCTTTGAGAAGCTTTGTTGCTATCTATCCTCCGTTTGTTTCCGTTTCCTTTTCAATAAAGTTTACTTCAGTCTACCTATAAACTTTTGCTATATTATAAGAACGCCCTCCTTTGCTCAGGTCTTCACACAAGAGTGCTGAACTAGAGGTTTCTTCCACATCTAGACCAGACTGCCTGTCATGGGACCTGGTGGACCTGGAGGACCTGGCGGACCAGGAGGGCCCGGACCTGGATGGGGACCAGGACTTGGAGGACCTGGGATCTTTCCACCAATTGGTGGTTTCTTTGCTGGATTTTCAGACATGATATGTTCCTGGTAAAGACATCATCCTGCTTCACTGTTATGTATTTTTAGGTTGATGATATGTTTGTTGAATCTTGCAGTCTGTCTTGTCTCTGCTGCTGCTGGCTACTACGAGATTGCTTCGGAGGGCCACCACCACCACAAGCACCTCCACTTCTTCCTTCCTATTATTGATCGCTCCCGGAGTCCTCCACAAGAAAATAATAAAAAGCCCTCTCTTTGTAAACGATATTGTTACACATGTTTCTAAAAAGAACTACCGAGGGAAAATCTTATATATATTTGGTTTCATAAATTTTAAATATCTGAATTACATTTCCAAAAATACAAAAAAACGTTGAAATTAAAATTACCAGAGAGATGAAATCATTGTCTGGAACTACAATCACTAACGACACAACATATTAAGAACAAACAAACAGTCTAATGTTATCGTTTTCGAGTCTCTCTCGCTCTCTCCCTCTCCTTGTATGGACTTCGCCAAGACTTTTTGAAACTATATGTACAGTACACACAAACTTCATAGACAATGAGAGGCCAAACCAACCCATCTTTCTCTCTTTCAACATGATAGAACTAAATAACCCTACTGCGGGTTCATTCACATGCTATCTTGGTGTCGAAGCTGCTAAGGCAAATGGTGAAGGCCTGGAAGGCAGATATAGGGTACTGGAAATCCATTGTGAACACATCTTTGCCTACTTTCCCAAACTGGAGAATCACGTTCTCGTGCTCGGGTCCAGCAGGTCCGTTCTCAGGAGCTGCTACGAGCTGGAAGTTTTTGACGGAAGCAACAGTGACTCTCCCATTGAAGTTGAGGCACCAGCACTGGAGCTGTTCGTGCCATCTGGGGGCTTTGTTCTTCAGGACAAGCAGACCTTCCCTTTGAACAGGACCAGACGGGTGGAGACTCTCTGAACGAACTGATTTAGACCTGAAGAAGGAGAACGAAGGGAGCATATCGAGATTGCTGTGGAGAAGTTCCGTTTGAGTTGGAGCTGTTCCTCCAGGTTCTACTGCTGATGCAGGGATTACATCCATTACACACTGCATCCTCCTCGGACCTCTGGTTGGTTTGGTACAAGAATAACAAGTGAAACACATTATTCTTATTAGCAAAAGGCATTACTAGAGCAACAGTTTCTTTTTCTCTGAATAAAAAAAAAAAAAATCACCTGGAGCCCAAGACGTTAAGCTCATATGAGATATGGGCGACAGGATAGTTTCCAGATGGAATTCTGGGGCTCACTTGTTTCATAGAGAGAAGTCTGGTTGAACGGGTTCTGGTAACCTGAGCTCCAGGATTCGTGGGCTGAGCATCGTAGACAGTGAACTTGGTCCCAAGAAAATTAGACCTGAAAAAGAAAGTAAAATTGTGGGGGGAAATATTATGAAAAAGGAGGCAATTTGACTTGAAACTGACCTAAGCTTTCCAATGTAGGAAGTGCTTCCTCTGGAGACATCATCAGAGTTTAAGGAGATGATGTAGTCAGTGCAAGTTGGCCTCCTAAACCTCTTTGCAGCAAGAAGGAACTTTCCTTCATCATTAGAAGCTGCTGCTGAAGAGGAAGAGCAAAGACTAGAGTGTTATTATTCACAAACAAAGAAGAAGAGAAAGCAAGTGTGTTGTGATTTTTGACCTTGGTTTAGGCCGAGGTAGAGATGGTAAGTTTGATAGCTGCGGTTTCTGATGATATAGCATTGAACAAGCGATCCCCTCGGACCCGGCTGAAACCAGAGGAAAGATTATTAGGCTCCTAGAGAAAGAAGAAGAAAGTAAGAGAGAGATAGATAAACCTGTTTGAGGGAAATTGGAAAAGTGAGTTTGGAGGAAAGTTCAGGAACTTTGACAATCTCTTTGACGATTTCACGCCAGTTCCTGCAAACACCAGCGCAGGAAACAACATTCTTCCTAGAGGGCCAAGTGTCTTCGGAAGACTCAATCCGCATGAGAACATCCCTGAGGAGCTCAGGGGGCATAGTAGCCCAGCAGCTCTGCTTGAAAGCATCGACAGGAAGAAGACAAGAATCCTGAACAACACGTTGAGACCTGGATCTACCAAACCCGAATCCTTTTCTGGAAATACTTCCAAGCTCTCCTCGCATGTCCTGAATCAGACTCTTAAACGACATGATTTCTCTTCTATAACCACTCTCTCCTTCCAGGCTCCAGCTAGCTAATTAACTAACGCATCATCCCCCCTCCCCCCACACGAATCAAACCCAAAAGATCTGTTTCCCACCTAATCTCGAACACAAGCTTCTTACCAATTCAGATCCGTTAAATATCTACAAATCCCCCAGCTTCTATGGAAACATAGGAATTAAAAAACACCCCCCCCACTCGGATGGATTGAGCTGAGCACCAATTGAATCCGGATCCAACTCGGCAAGTCTCAGATTCGGGTATGGATATCGACAACACCCCAAAGCCAATGCCTTTCTTACAGCAGCAGCAGAAGCGGTCAGAGGAGATAGATTTAGGGTTTGGCCATCGACGGCGGAGCGAATATATTTATGTGTGTGTTATCCAATCGCCTCCCTGTTTTTTATTTCTTTATTTCAATTGTAATTAAGGTTCTATTTAATTTTTAACTAAATTTGGCAACAAATAAATACATTTGCATAGTAAAAATCTATACTTCATCAAATAAATAACTACCTGCATCTTTTGCTTTTCACCATTATCTTCCAAATATGTTTTCTGATCTTCTTCAAATATGTTATCTGATCAATTATGTAAACTGTATATCAGAGTGTGGTTTCCGTCCCTTCGATCTAGGATGGCGATTCGTGGAGACTTAGATTTTATTTTAGATTTTAATAAATAAAACTGAAGTTTATTTTCTAGGATGGCGATTCGTGGAGACTTAGATTTTATTTTAGATTTTAATAAATAAAACTTAAGTTTATTTTCTAGAATGAACTTTTAAATTCATCTCACTTCTAATTATCAATCATGATGTCACATTGATTAATGAATAAAAAATATTAAATATTATAATAAAAACTAAAATAGCTAAAAAATAATGATAACACTAATTTTAATGATGTTAACACCGCCATCAAAACCTTAAATCCAAACCGTAACCTAAGCCAAAATCCTATACCTTAAACCCAAATCCTATATCCTAAAACACAAACTTAGACCCTAAACTCGAATCCTATACCCTAAATCCAAACCTTAGACCCTAAAATCTAAACCTTAGACCCTAAACCCAAATTATATACCCTAAATCCAAATCCTAGGCCCTAAGTTCTAGCCCCTAAATCCTAGAACCTAAATCTTAAATCCAAACTTTAGATCCTGAATTTAAATTCTATACCCTAAACCAGAACCCTTACCTTAAACTCAAATCCTAGACTCTAAATATAAACTATAAATCTTAAAGTCAAATCCTATACCCTAAATGTTTGGATTAATTTTGATATTGTTCTTTTAAAGTTTAACGTTAGGATTTAAGGTTTGAATTTAGAATTTACGGTTTGGGTTCATGAATGGTCTAGAGTTTGGATTTAGGATCTATGGTTTGAATTCATGATCTAAAGTTTGGGTTTAGAATTTAGAGTCTAGGATTTAGGGTTTAGAGTTTAAGGACTAAGGTTTGGGTTTAGGGTATAAAATTTGGGTTTATGGTTTAGGGTTTAAGTTTAGGGTATAGGATTTAGATTTAGGGTATAAATTTTAGATTTAGCTTTAAGGTCTAGATTTGGGCTTTAGGGTATAGGATTTTAGGGTATAGGATTTGGATTTTGGTTTAGATGGCGGTGTTAACGTCGTTATAATTGGCGTGTTATTATTATATTTTGGTTATTTATAATTTTTTTAAGTATTTATTATTTTTTTAAGTATTTAATATTTTTTATTCATTAATCTATGTGGCATAAAGATTTGTTATTAGATATAAGGTAAATTTAAAGGTTCATCCTAGTGAGTGAACTTAAGTTTTTTGTTTGATTTTAATTCAGTTTTAAAGCCGTTTTATATGATCTTCAAAATATTTCTAGGGATTTGGGAATTTTTAAAATGAAAACAAATAGCACCCTTCTGCTCGTCTAAACCAATTATCTTTTTATGTCGATGAGTAAAATCATTGTCATATGTTCTCCAACTAACATGGTTTCGAGCGAGATGTTCAACATATGTATAAAGCCAGAGTTTGTTAGATTTCTTAAGTGTTTATCAGTTTCGTCGGTCGTGTTTAGAGATTGTCTGCAAGTGGACATGTGACATTTCCGCCACCCAACTTCAAGTTATTGCTCCACGAGTTTTGTTTCGGGAGTTTATGTGATATGTGATATGATATATGAGCCATTGGGTGGCATGTGTTATTTTGTGTATGAGCATATGGATTATTTTGGAGGCATGTTTGGTTTGTAAACTCCAGAGGGATCGCTTTTAGATTGGGGTGCGGTAGTGTTGATATTGGAATTATACTTGGTTTTGTTTGCCAAGTTTTTGGCTGTGATCATTATTTTAGAGATGTGTCAGTTCAGACAATTGGCATAGAGACGTTGGAAGTTATATGTACTCATCGAGTTGTACAAGTTATATTTGGAGGGATCCATTTGTTCAGAGACTTTACAGAGATGAAGCTGAGCTTTAATGATGTTATGCTCATGATTGATTGGTTGTCATTACATCAAATATTATTAATTAGCCTGAGGGAAATCATTGAACAGAAGGGAAGATTATATTTTAGGGGATTTACACGCACCAAGAGGTATTTATTACCGTCATGCTACATGCTAAGGAGTTATTGGATGTAAGAACGTATGTTTTTTTGGCGATCTTTTTGATACTTAAGGATGATGGAAATCATGAGGTGGAAGTCCCTTCGATTATTGCAGAGTTTGATGATGTATTTGAGGCCATCAGAAGGACCATCATGAAATAGAGGAGACATTCTTGCGATCAAAGTAGAACCATAAGCATTACTGGTTTCATGAGCGTCATACTTATTAGTGCTAACAGAGATGGCAGAGCTGATAAGTCGCACGGAAGATTTATAAGAGAAAGGTTTTACTAGACAAAGTACTTCACCATGGGGGCTATTAGTGTTGTTGCAATGAAAATAAGGGAGTTTCAAATTTGGTAGCGACTGCAGAGATTTGAACAAGGTGACCATCAAGAAAAATACATCTGATTCTGAGTATTGAAGAATTGTTAGATTAGTTGCTGGGAAGTTCATGATTTCAAGGATTGTCGTGGCATCAAGATACCATCAACTTGCAATAACTGAGGGAGATATACAGAATTTGAATTTTTATATACGTTATAGGTATTATGGGATTGTAGTGATACCATTTGGGTCGACGAATTCACCAATAGCATTCGTGAAGCTTATGAATGAATTCTCTTGTGATCACTTAGATAAATGTGTGGTTGTATTCATTGGCAATACATCTTATTTATTCCTGGAGTAGAGAGGAGTATGAAAAGCATTGACAGATTGGGTATTAATGCAAGAGGATTAGGTTATTGCATATGGATCATGTCAGTTGAGACTCCCCAGAACCACTACCTACTCATGGGTTGGAGTGGCTGTAGTGGTATCCACGATAAGGTTTTGAGATCGTAACTATTCAAGAAGGAAGTTAAGATTCTTTGGGATCGCGAGTGAAATACTCGGGTAAACTTATACTGGAGTCAGCGTAAATGGATGAAGTTGTTAGATCACATACCATATGGTAAGACTAACCAGGTGGCAAACACATTGGGTAGGCGCAAGAATGAAGTTTCAGGAACCAGGGAGGTTAAAGAATTTATTGGGATGCTTGCAAGTCTCCGATTTTGTGTAGTTTAATATAGGAGGATACAACTGGTCTTGAAGCACTGGGGCATGCAGATTTATTATGGAGAATACATCAAGCACATTATAATAATACGACTTTTGTTATATAGATCGAGCCTGAGAGTATTGGATATCAGACAATTCCGAGCAAGATGTACTTGTATCGAAATTGAGTTTGTGTGTCGGACGATAAGTTGTTAAGAAAATGGATCTTACAGCAAACACATCACTCGTGTTTCTCTATCCACGGAAAACAAGAAGGGATACAAAAATATGAAGTGTTAAATAGAGTTGTAGCTTCATTGTGATGCAGTGTCATACATGTCAGATGGTTATGTCTGAGGATCAAATACCTTACAAGTTATTATTGAGCTTGTTTTCTCAAGAGTGAGGCATAGTGATTATGAATATTTTTACTGGATTTTCGTTCATTACAGGTGGAAATGATGCCACATGGGTAGTCATGGACAGACTTACCAAATCAGCTCATTTCGTAGCAATTAAGAAGACAGACAGAGCTGGCCAGTTGGCACAAATTTACATCAGCGATATTGTGAGGATGCACGGAGTACATGTCAGCATTGTATCGAATCGAGATTAAAAGTTCACATCTAAATTTTGGGGAGCATTTCAGAAGACTATTAGGAAAAAAATCCGCATGAGAACAACTTGTCACCCGTAGACAGACGGTCAGTCAATAAGGAAGATTCAAACTTTTGAGGATATGCTCAGAGATTGCGTCTTACAGTGGGAAGGAAGCTAGGGAAGCATCTACCTCTAGCCGAGTTTGCCTAGTACAACAGTTATCACTCGAACATTAAGATGGCACCATATGAGGCTCTTTATGGTATGGCTTGTCGCACACCACTTTGTTGGACACAAGTGGGGCAGCAACGTGAGATTGAACCAACAATGGTTCAAAAGACGGTACATCATGTTGAGATATTCAAGGTTTGGCTTAAGGAAGCCCATGACCGTCAAAAGAGTTATGCAGATAAGCGCTGTAAGGATTTGAAGTTTCAGGTTGGCGATCTGGTATACCTAAACATGAGGGCGTTTCGGAGAGGATACAAGACTCAGAAGCTGAAGAAGCTTAAACCGAGGTATATGGGGTCATATCCTATTTTGAAGTGGATCGGAGCAGTTTCTTATAGATTGGATTTATCAGGAGAGTTATCAGACTTCCACGACGTGTTTCATGTGTCGGTGTTAAGGAAAGTCGTGAGAGAGCCTTAGCTCATTTTAATGCAGCCGCCCAATAACTTTCGTAAGAATTTGTATGCATCTTGTTAGCCAGTGGAGGTTTTGGATCGATAAGTGGATAATGACCATGTTGGTCAAAGTTTGTTGGGAGAGAGACGGGATTCAGAAGGAGACTTGGAAGGCCGAGCCCCAGATGAGGATTGATTACCCAAAGCTTTTTCGCGATGATGTTGGGCAGTCCGCCAAAGACGTGAATTCAAGGTCGAATTCTTTATTAGTGGGGAGAATTTAAATGATTCAATCATCAGCCCATAAATTTCAGGCCCAAATACAGAAGCCTAAGGTATTTTTTCATTAAAGTATCCACCCTCTCCACTTTTTTTTTCTGCAACAAACCAAGAAAAAAAGAGTTAGAAGAAAAAATATTGAGAGTATGGTGTTTCCATGCAGAGGTTGAGCCACCAGAAGTTTTCGCCGGAGCCACCACACACAAGGAATAGACCGAGCTCGCCACCATTGTTCTTCACT